CAGAAAATATATATTCTTGTGCCTTTCAGCTCTACAATGCCAGCACAAATCTGAAGACTGGGGGAAAAAAAATCTTATCTAGAACAGTCGGCACTTTGTATAATCTGGTTAGTAATTTAATTTATAACCAGATTTCTGGAATCTGCTAGTTACAGAAAAGTAGTGTGCAAAGTACAGTGTGTATCCCAAAATATTTTCCTATTTAGGAAGGAATGGAGGCGTAAACAAGTCCGGTGCTTGTACAAGAAGGTAATAAGCAATGGAGACTGCATGGGCTTGCCTCCAAACATTAGGGGCTCAGTTGGTGTCAGTTTCTAGTATGAAATTCCTTGTTTAACCACTTACCTACCGGGCACTTACCCCTTTCTGCCCAGGCCAATTTTCAGCTTTCAGTGCTGTCGCACTTTGAGTGACAATTGCACTGTCATGTAACACTGTACCCAAACAAAAACAAAATTTAATTTTTTTGAGACGCTTTCTTTAGGTGGCATTTAATCCCTATTGGGTTTTTTATTTTTTGCTAAACAAAGTAAAAAAGACTGCATTTTGAACAAATAAAAAAAGTTTTTTTCTTAGTTTCTGTTATAAAATTTTTAAATAAGTATTTTTTCTCCTTCACTGCTGTGCATTAATGAGGCTGCACTGATGAGAAGGCACTGGTGCGTGGCACTGATGGGCATTGACAGGCATAACTTGTGGGCATTTATAGGTGGCACTGATAGTTGGCACTGAAAGGCAGCTCTGATGGGCACTGACAGGTAGCATTGATGGGCACTCACAGGTGGCACTGATGGGGCTACTCTGATCATCAGGGCACTGATGATCAGTGTAGATGTCCACTCTGAGGAATGCCGCTTACCGGCTCTCCTCTCCTCACACGCTGTCAGCGTGAGGAGAGGACTGCCGATAACTGGCATTTCCTTGTTTACATGCAATCAGCCATCAGAAGAAAATTCGTCACTCAAGAGAACATGTCTCCATTGCGCTAGTGTCCAGTGGCAGCATGCTTTACACCACTGCATCCAACACTTTGCATTGCACTTGGTGATGTAAGGCTTGGGTGCAACTGCTCGGCCATGGAACCCCATTCCATGAAGCTCTCTACACACTGTTGTGCTAATCTGAAGGCCACACAAAGTTTGGAGGTTTTTAGCTATAGACTCTGCAGACAGCTGGCAACTTCTGCGCACTGTACTCTTCAGCACACTCTATGCTTGAGCATGTGCTTACCCCACTTTCATTTTATGTGGCCTAGCACTTCATGGCTGAGTTGCTGTTGTTTCCAGTTGCTTCCACTTTTTTATAATACCACTAACAGCTGACCGTGGAATATTTAGTGGCAAGGACATTTCACGGATGGACTTATTGCCCAGGTGGCAACCTATCGCGATACCGCACTTGAATTCACTGAGCTCCTGAGAGCGACCCATTCTTTCACAAATATAGAAGCAGTCAGCATGCCTAGGTGCTTGATTTCATACACCTGTGGCCATGAAGGTGATTGGAATACCTGAATCCAATAATTTGGAGGGGGTGTACCCAATACTTTTGGCAATATAGCATACTTGGTGTGTGCTAATGAGGTCAGCTGGTGAACTGCTTTCTTCGTCTTACTGGCTTTGATGTCCCCAATCTACATACCAGAAAGTAATTTAAGTTTTCTATGAACACCGCAGGGGCTAAGGTAAGGCCTTTTTCTAAAAAATCAAAGAAAACTTTTATTTTTCTGCAACAGAGGTACCTTAGTGGTATATTGGTACATAGGGGAGCTGTAATTTTGGAGAAAAAAGGGTGATCTTGGCCTTAAATAGCACACAAGAATTCTGAATGGAGGAGTGTTCATGAATGTCACAAAATTGATATAAACTGGTGGGCAATTGTGCAGAATTCTTACAAGTAATTTTTGCTAAAGGGGGCAATGCCAGCTCGGGTGTGGAAATTTTTTAAAAAACTACTTGTCCTGGGACTAAATCAGTGTCCTGATCTACTTGTCCCTCATGACAATCTACTTGTCCAGATAAAAAAAAATAATTTTTTTTTTTAACCGAACCGTATTTGAATTGGAGGTGCTTTTAGGAATGTCTGGGGCTTTTAAAAACAAAAGCAGCTTTAGGCTACGTTCACACTAGCCTTGTGTGCAGGCGGCAGAGAGGCGTTTGGGAAGCGTTTTTTTTACCGCTTCCCAAACGCCTCTGCCAATTCTGCACATTACAGCACATGGTGCTGTTCTAACGGGAGCGTTTGCGTCGCGTCGCGGCAAAACAGACGCCTCTGGACGAGTCAGGAGGCTTTGAAGCCTCCTATTCTCGTCTATGGTGCCGCTCCGCAAACGCCCGGCCGGCGTTTGCGGTGCGGTTGCGGGGCGTTTGCGGAGCGGTAACAACACTCAAACTGCATTATAGGTGTTTGTGGGGCGTTATTAACGCTCGGCAAACGCCTAGCAACCGCCGCTAAACCGCGCATGCGGCGTTTGCGGAGCGTTAAAAAACGCTCCGCAAACGCCGGACCAACGCTTGCCAAACGCTATAGGGGCGTTTGGCAAGCGTTGGCAAAACAGCCTAGTGTGAACGAGCCCTTATGGCGACTTAAACGTGTAATAATTTTAACATTGCACTGTTTATTTCCTCTTACCCTCCCTGCCTCTCTCCAGCACCACACCCGGGGACTAGCAGGGAGCGGAGAGACCTTGCAGTGTAATGAGAACTGATTGGGTGCTTGTCAGGGAAGGGGAGTGTCAGGCTTATCCTTTATCCCTTTCACTGTCAGAGCTGTTTTTTTGCACAAGTTTAAAAATAATTTTAGGCCTGAAGATGACACAAAACCCCTAAACATGATATATTTTCTGAAAGCAGAGACCCTAGAGAATAAAATTGTCATAGTTCCAATTTGTTATGTCGCATGATACTAACGCAAAATTTCAGTAAAAAATACAAGTAAGTTCATTTTAGGGCACAAAAAAGCAATAAATTACCCTATTTTTTTGTAAAATATAAAAGATGAGGTTGCACCGATTAAACAGATATCCAACATATCAAACCTTAAATTTGCGCTTGTAAAATGGCGACAAACTTCAGTACCCTATATTTTCTATGGGCAACACTTTTAAAGCCCCTTATAGGTCATCAGCTTAGCATTACGGAGGAGGTCTGGTGCTAGAATTATTGCTCTCTTCCTGGCATTCACAGCGATATGTAACGTGTATTGCAATTGACTTTTTCATACGTAGGTGCCCCAGCGTGTGTTACCAGCTTAAATATGGGGGGGGGATGTTATGTGCTTGAGTGTAACTTTCATTTTTTTATATTTGCGGAAAAAGTTTTTTCTTTAATCATATAGGAGACAAAGTCCCCTATGTGATGATTTTTTTATTGAGACATCCAAGGTCTAAAAGACCCTGGATGTCTCCCCTGAATGTAATGCAGTGCACATCGCACCACATTACATACTTTCCCAGCCTCCATGGCCAGGAATCTCTCAATGGAGACCAGGAAGTGACATCATAATGTCACTTCCGGGTCAGGACAAGGAGGGGAGTGGATGTGCCCACTCTCCTCCCTCCCCTCTAGCTGACGGCGGTGAGCCGGCCCCAGGCCCCCCAGATGGGCAAGCGGAGCCCAAGAGACATCACGTGGAGAAGAGGCTGGCACTGTGTGAAAGCAATCAGCAGCAGTGTTACTGCCCAAATGCTTCTACCTGACAGGTGAGGCCTGCTGCTTGCCCGCAGCAGGGCTAATAGTTGAAAAAAAAATTACTGGCGCCTGAAACTACATGTCCCGGGCGATACAAATTCAACATCCCTGCTAGCTTCTGAGGCTGAGTATCCTTACTGTTTCCACATTATGCCATTTCATCTATTGATATTTGTGTTAAATGATTTCAAAGGCCAATTTTCCTTGTGTTTATCACTTTTTATCTGTAGCCATCTTTTGAATACAGATCTAATATTTGCCTGTTCAAATATGTTGAAAAAGTAAACCGTTTCCATGGGGTGTACTTAATATTTTCACATTACTGTATTTGTGCAGTCCAAACTACCCAGTATTGTGATGCCTTCTTTGTTAGTCATGTTGTTTGAATTGCTATAAGCTTATCAAAGGCTCAAAATGATCAGCAACTTACAAGTGTAGGAAGGGAATGTACATTAGCTCAGCGGTCCCCAACCTTTTTAGCACCAGGGACTGGTTTGTGGAAGACCATTTTTTCACAGCTGGGGGATCTGGTGATCTGGTGTCAGGATGATTCAAGTATTTATTGTGCACTTTATTTCTGTTATTACATTGTACTTTATAATGTAATATTTCAACTAATCATTAAGCAGAATCACTGGGAGCCTGCCACCAGATGCAGCATTTCACTTTCAGCTAAAGCCTACAGCCAGATGCAGTTTGTCACTTGCCCTAAAGCCTAGATCCAGATGCAGCTTTGTTCTTGTTATCTCTGTGCAGTGAAACCTCTTTATAATTTTTTTTTTTTTTGCAGCCACTCCCTACCACTACCATCCACCCCCTTTTCCCCCTCAGCTGCACCTCAGACCCTCCAGCATTAGATTCTCAAGGAACGGGAACCTGGATCCCACACATGCATAGTCTATACTAGGTTTACAGTCCTATGAAAATCTAATGCTGCTGCTGATCTCACAGGAGGCGTAAGCCCGCTCATCTCCTGCTGTGTCTATGCAGCTCAGTTCCCAACAAACCACGGATCGGTACTGGCCTGGGGGTTGGGGACACCTGCACTAGCTAGCAATAAACCTAACTGGTTATATCCAATTGACTGGGAAGAGCCAACTAGAATTAACTGCGAAAAAAAATGCCTGCAACATAAGATGCTTACAGCTCCAGTGAGCACAACAAATTATTTATAGTTGCCATGGTTACCTAGTTTTATACAGCTGCATATACTTAAGTAAAAATCTTCTGGAATGTTGAGAGTATGTTAAATACAAAGCTCTGCTGGACTGAGACTTCTTACAGATCATAATTTTTTTTTCTCTTCCACAGCTCAGCATTTGACACAAAAACAGAACAGCGTGTTGCAGTGAAAAAGCTGTCACGGCCATTTCAATCCATAATCCATGCTAAACGTACTTATAGAGAACTTCGTCTGCTAAAGCATATGAAACATGAAAATGTGAGTAACCTTACAATTTAAACCTATTTTCTCCAGGGTTGGATAAACAATATCACACAAATCCTATAAATGACATAACGCATGCAACACTAAATAAATAATATATACTCGGATACAGCCAGATTGCCGGTTAGAGTGGAACTAAAGGCATTTTTTTTGTTGCCAACGGGCAGGCTCTTTATTGCTGAAGAGACATGCATGTCTCTTCTGCAATATAATATTTACCTGCCTGTTCGCAATTCTCTGAAGAATGTGTGCAGCACTATTTACATTTCTGGCACAGGACCAGCGTGCTGGGATGAGTGACTCACACGCATGCTTGAAAGTGCCATCATCCTGCACCGGTCAATCAAGACAGCTGAAGAGTGGCACCAGGAGGAAGCCGGGTAGAAGATGCCAGCGAGGGAAACCATTAGATCAAGGTAAGCATTGCTGCTTTAGTTCTGTTTAGCCACTTGCCCTCCACCCTACAGCAGAAGTACTGCTACAGGGCTGCTCAAAATCACGTGTATATATACGTTATTTGCATCTCTGGGCAGGGGAGGCGTGTGCACTACCCTACCCACGCCACGATCGGCAGCTGGAGATGACAATCACAACGTCCCAGCCAGCTCTCGGCGATCATCGGGGAAAGCTGACAGGGGAAGAGACCTGTGTGTAAACAGTGGTCTCTCTTCTGTCAGCATGGACATGCTATTTTGTGTATCTCTGCATAGCGGAGAGATACAAAATAGGATGTCTCCCTAGCAAAACACAGCACACAGTAAAACGCACAGTTAACCCTTTGACCAACACAGATTTTAACCCCTTTTTGCTCAGTGTCATTAGTACAGTGCCATTGCTTTTTATTAGCACTGATCAATGAATTGGTGTCACTGGGGATGTCAGTGCAGTTAGTTCGCACTCAGTGCCAGAATGCCCGCCACAGTCCCGCTATAAGTCCCTGATCGCCGCCATTACTAGTATTAAAAAAAAAATAAATAAAAACATTTAAAAATTCCAGTATATATACCGCTATTTGTAGACGTTATAACTTTCACATAAACCAATTAATTTACACGTATTGGGATTTTTAATTTTTTTTCTTAGCAAAGACGTAGCAGAATACATTTTAGCCTAAATTTATGAAGAAATGTGATGATTTTTTTTTTTTTTGTACCGATGTGTTTTTATAGCAAAAAGTCAAAAATTGTTTTTTTTTTTTCCTTCAAAATTGTCTATCATTTTTAGTTTATAGCGCAAAACCGCACAGGTGATCAAATACTAACAAAAAAAAGCTCTATGAGTGGGAAAAAAAAATGACCTAAATTTCATTTATATACTATGTTGCATGACCGCATATTGTCAGTTAAAGTGATGCAGTGCCGTATCGCAAAAATTGGCCTGGTCAAGAAGGGGGGGCAAATCCTCTGGGAGTGGGGGCAAACAAACTGAGAAATAATAAGCTGGGAGGAGAGCCCATGCACATGGCCTGTCAGTCATTTGACTAGTCTCTCCTCCAGTCATGGAGTTCTCTCTTCAGTATTGAAATGGAACTGGCATGTGTTCTTGCACTTGTGCTAAGTAATGTATAAGTGAAACTATAAGCGGGAGCTTACACTCCCCCTAGACACCCCGCACTCAATCTCCAAATGCCTTGAACCACAATAGCATAAACAATACATAGTGCTACATGCAGTCCAACACCAATATGGAAATACTGTTTTTATGCCACCGAATCTTCCCAAAGTGCTTCACCTCACTCACCAATGATCTATAACCCTCTTATTTAAAAGAAAAGGTCATAAAGCGCTGTTTGCCCCAGATGCTCTCCAACTGCTGTTCTTCACTTATCCTCCAACTATCACTTGTCCTATATACCCAATGTCTCTCCATCAATGTCACCCAACGACCACAAAGACAAAATCTCTCATTGTGCAGTATTTATTTAAGACTTGGCAATAAAAAGTATTAAACATTTTACACTTACAAAATGTGGTGCCCAATATCTTGGCATGAATACACTCAGCGTCTATGCACCACCGGTCCCACTTCCTGGACCTCGGCGTGCATTCCAAATACTTGAAACCGGAAGTGACGTAGGGATTTGGCTGTAAGAAGCCTCTACATGTTTTGCCGTGTGGCGTCCTCGGGAAGCTCCCCACCACTAGGTGCTCTTAAATGGGCCGCTGCACAAAAAATTGCAATGCATCTGCTCTTAACTACTTGCCTACCGGGCACTTTTACCCCCTTCCTGCCCAGGCCAATTTTAAGCTTTCAGTGCTGTCGCACTTTGAATGAATTGCGCAGTCATGCAACGCTACCCAAACAAAATTTTTATCATTTTTTTTTGAGACACAGAGCTTTCTTTTGGTGGTATTTAATCAGAACTAGGTTTTTTATTTTTTGCTAAACAAACTGAACATTTTAAAAAGGGGGAAAAAATGTTGTCTTTTTTCTTAGTTTCTGTTATAAAATTTTGTACATTTTTCTCCTTCACTGATGTGCGCTAATAAAGCTGCAGTGATGGGCACTGTTAGGCGGCACTGATAGGAGGCACTGATGGTAATTGACAGGCATCATTCATGGGCACTGAAAGACAGCACTCATATATGGGACTGGTATGTGGCATTGATGGGCACTGACAAGTGTCACTAATGGGGCTACACTCCTCATTAGGGCACTGTTGATCAGTGTAGATGTCCTTTCTGAGGAATGCCGCTTACCGGCTCTCCTCGTGCTGTCAGTGTGAGGAGAGGACTACCGATAACCGGCATTTCCTGTTTATGTGCGATCAGCTGTGATTGGACAAAGCTGATCACATGACAGTCTGTGTCATCGGCTCTTTCCTGTGATCACTGATCCGCTGTGTTTAAGGGACACAGCGCACCACCGATCACCGCTTTCCCCCCCCGGGAAGCGCATGCGCAGGTTGAGTGGGAGGACGTCATATGACATCCTCCCAGAACGAGTGAGCCACCGCCCACCTGTCATTTCCTTATATGGCGGGCAAGAGGCTGTTATGGTTCCTGTAGACTGCTGGACAGAATTGGTTGCCTGTTCTGTTTACCATTGCGGTGTTGGGTTGTGACCTGTGTTGGCCAAGGTTCTGCTGCAAAGTTTGTGCACTGGAAAAGTGGATCAGGTATATGTGGATCTGGCGGACCAGTTGGTCTAGTACCTGACGTACTTGTGTTGCATCCTTGCATTCTGTGCCGGTCCTTCCAAGCTTTCCATCTCGGTGGTGGTGATTTGGGTGGGTGCTTTGGCTCAAATGCTGGTCTGCCGACCAAACGTTTAATAAAGGCCTTGGCAAATCTGCCCATCCAAGGAGAAAGTCGCTTTGATGCTACCTTGGATTACATCATTCAGAACCTCAAGGGACCTTCCTCCCACAGTCCAAGAAGGGGTTTGAACCACATTGGTAGTCTGGGCATTCCTTTCCTGTAAACAAGAAGCTTTTTTAAAAAAATATTTGGGGGGTTTTTTTTTCCCTTTAAAATTGTTGCTTTTTTTTTATAGACTGCAAAAAGTAGAAACTGCACAAGTGATCAAATACTACCAAAAGAAAGCTCTATTTTTCGGGGGGGGGGGGGAGTAAGTAAATTTATTTTGGTGCAGCGTTGCATTTGTCAGTTAACCACTTGCCTACCAGGCACTTATACCCCCTTATTTACCAGGCCAATTTTCAGCTTTCAGCGCTGCCGCACTTTGACAATTGCGCGGTCATGCAACATTGTACCCATATGAAATTTTGATCATTTTTTTCTCACAAATAGAGCTTTCTTTTGGTGGTATTTAATCGCCACTGGGCGCTTTACTTTTTGCGCTATAAATAAAAAAGTGCAAAAAATTTGAAAAAAAAAAGTTTCTTTGTTTCTATTATAACATTTTTCAAACAGGTATTTTTTTCTCCTTCACTGATGTACGTTGATGAGGCAGCACTGATGGGCACTGATAGGCAGCACTAAAGGGCACTGATAGGCAGTACTAATGAGGTGGCACGGATAGGCGGCACTAATATGCGGCACTGATAGGTGACACTGATGATGGGTACTGATAGACGGCACTGACTGGCATCACTGCTGGGCACTGACTGGCGGCACTGACTGGCACAACCCCTGGGCACTGGCTGCACTGGTGGGCGGGCACTGGTGGGCGGGCACTGGTGGGTGGCACTGCAGAGTGGCACAGGTGGGTGGCACTGCAGAGTGGCACAGGTGGGTGCACTGCTGGGCACAGGTAGGCGGAGCTAGTGGGCGCACTGCTGGGCACAGGTGGGCGTAACTTGTGGGTGGCACTGCTGGGCACCGATCATCAGGGCACTGATCATCAGTGCCCTGATGATCGGTGCCGATCCCCGCTCTGACAACTGCCGGTTCTCGGCAGTACTTTCCTCACGATCTGACAGCATGAGGAAAGTGCAGCCGAGAACCGGCACTTGCATTTCCCTCTGATCAGCGTGTCATTGGACACCGCTGATCATGTGGTAAAAGGCCGCTGTGATTGGCCTTTTACCACATCACGTGATCAGCTGTGTCCGTAGGACACAGCGATCACGGAGATCGCCGGGTGCGCGCCCCCTGGAGCGCGCAGGAGAGTGCGTTCTGGGAGGACGTCATATGATGTCCACTCAGAACTGCCCGGCCCGGCTGCAGTGCAGCCGTCATTCGGCTATCTGCGGTCGGCAACTAGTTAAAGTAACGCAGCGCCGTAATGCAAAAAATGGCCTGGTCAAGATGGGGGATAAATCCTCTGGAGGGCAAGTGGTTAAAAGAAAAAAAAATGGTTTGGTGCATCCCTAGTTTACTTTGATTATATGCATTTTTTTCACATTCTACATGCAGCAAAAGCATCTGAACTAAATAGAGGGCTCATTAGGATCCTTCAGCTGCCCTTGGCACATTGGCCACATAGGCTTTTAGGACATGTCCTTCTTAGAACCAAACCATAGTGAGGCCTTGGTCAACTATTTAAAATGTATATGATTTTTGTTAAATCAACCTTTTTTTTTAACTTTCAACTCTTATTTCCTGCTATGGCTTATACTTCCCTGCAGTTTAGGTCTCTTGCCTTGGTTTCCTCTCTGTTGAATTTTAAGTAGAAGTCCAGTCAAATACTAACTATACTTTAACCTGATCCCACCCCAATTCTAAGCCAGTTCCAACTACCCTGTAAAGTAAAGATGTGTATGTTCATGCATGCTGAGAGAGGTCCAGTCACTCACAATCTCTTCATTGGTAGGCTTCAGTAATGAGGAGAGATTGCCAACATGGCTGTAGAGCCTGGGTGATAACATCTCCCAAAGACTTACTATGGGGTATGCATTTCTCGGATGTCCATCCCTTACACTGAAGCCTGTGCTGGGAGCCGATCATGTGACTGGACTGGAGCACAACCTTAGCATGGGTAAGTATAGACATTTTTCCATAACTTTGTAGTTAGAATGGGGCTGGGAGCAGGATTAAGTATAGTTTAAGGCTTGACAGGACTTCCACTTTAATATAACAGGGTCCTCCATATCTGTGTTCTTTATGGTCAGTACTGTGTGAGGAGGGGTCTTCGGGCTTTTTTTATTGCACCTAATCTGACAAATTCTCATATGTTGTCCTGGAAGACAGTCCATTGTTGGACTTGTCAGTAAAACTATTTCCATACATTTTTCAGGACAGCAGTATTCCTGTCCTTGAGTTTTTGCTTTTTCTGTTTAACTTTGAGCTGTGTTTTTACAGAAACCTCATTTCATAAAGCGTTGTGCTAATACCCTGTGATATTCAAACTACCACCAATTTATTTTCTAGGGTGTCTGCTTTCAGAAAATATATATTCAGGTCTAAAATGATTTAATTGTGTGCAAAAAAATGCAAAAACTGCTCTGGCAGAGATGATTTTAACCACTTGATCTCCAGAAGGGTTTGAACAGAGCATTTTTTTAAAATTTTTGACACTGCTCTATTTTAACTGGCAATTGCGTTGTCATGTAACACTGTAGGGAAATGAAATTGTTATGTTTATCACACGTTTTGCGTACGTTTTTGCACACTTTTGTGCTTTAAGGCAGTGTTCCTTACATTACCGGGGGGGGGGGGGGGTTATTAGCCAATAGCAAAAATATCATCTGTTGCATCGTTGTTCAGCTTTTTTGAGCTTTTCTATCAGCTTTCAATTATTTTTTCATTATTATTCAGTTAATAAATAAATATAAATATATATATATATAATTTTTTTTCAGGGTCGTGTTTAATATTGTGTCTGTCTTATTTATTTATTGTTTGGGTGTTAACCGCTTGCTAACCAGCCACAGTAGTTATACTGCAGCAGGGCGGCACCACTGCGCAAAATCACGTGTGTATATATACGTGATTTTGCATTTCTGGGTAGGGGGCGCACGTGACCGCCCTACTTGCGTCGCCGATCGCGGCTGAGGGTGTTAATCACTGGGTCCCAATGTAGCTCTCTTCGCTTTCAGTTTGGGCATACTGCTTGGGATGGCTGAGCACAGCGCATCCCCCATTACTGTATTGGTGTCACTGGGGATGTTAGTTGGGGGCCCCAGTGTCAGAATGTCCGCTGCAGTCCCGCTATAAGTTGCTGTTCACCGCCCTTAGTAGTAAAAATAAAAAATCCCAGTGTATATTTACCTCCATTTGTAAACGCTATAATTTTTCACACAGACCAATTACTTTACACGTATTTGGAATTTTTTTTAGAAAAGACATAGCAGAATACATTTTGGCCTACATTTTATGACTTTTTTTATTTTATTTTTTACTGGACATGATTAATTGCAAAAAGTCAAAAATAGTGTTTTTTTTTTTTTTTTTCTTTTTTTTGTTCTCAAAATTGGCCTTTTTTTTTTTTTTTTTTTTTTTCTTTTTATAGCATAAAAAATTGCTCAAATGATCAAATACCACCAAAAGAAAGCTGCATTTGTGGAGGGGAAAAAAAGACGTAAATTTCATTTGGGTGCAGCGTTGCATGACCACGCAATTGTCGGTTAAAGTAATGCAGTGCCTTAGGGTGGTAAATCTTCTGGAGGGCAAGTGGTTAAAGGCAGTATTAGTATTCACCGCCTTTATAAATTTTGGCAAAAGAAAAATACCGCTTGTTAAGAATTTGTAAGTAGTGGTAGTAAACCCAAAACCAAAAATTTTTTATATTGCAGGCTTTTTTTTTTTTCCCCCTCTGTTTTCACCTGGAGATCTGGCCAGTAACACACCTCCTGTAATGGAGTGCTCTCACTCTGGATAATGGAGAACAGGGCACCTTTGGATAGCATTGTTAATCTGGGGAGCGGGAAGAGGTAGATTTATTAGCAGATTTAAACACACTAGCAAATTAAATCCAAACTTCAGCTAATACTTTAAAGGCAGTTATAAGCAACAAATAGTTTTTTCCTTTTGGGATAAAGGTTTTACATACTGTAAATAAAAGCTGATCATTGTAAGCACCACTGGAAGTGTTTTAAATGGTTTGTTTCATTTTTTCTCTAACTGCTACATTTTTTTTTGAAAAACAGACTTGATGGCAAGATCACCAGATTAAAATAGAAGAAAATTAATGCAGCCATCACAATTAGAAAATTGTAAGCTGCGATATGTTTGCTTTTGGGTTTAATACTACTTTAACCTCTTCATGCTGGCTGCACACAAAAGACGCCGAGCGGCCGCATATTTGCGTTCTATTAAAAAAGGACATATGTGCCGAGAGAGCTTTCCCTGCAAGCTCCCAGCACACATGTCTGGTCTTCTCTTTCGATCGGGACCCTTCTCGATCATGTGACCACCGTGACGGCACGTCACAGCGGTCACGTGACCCTAAACCCTGCCCCGCTTCCCGGCTTCTGAAACCCTTAAAGGGCCAGGAGGCGCCGGCGTGAATGGGTTAAAGAATTCCAGGCAAAATGTTATTTTGCCATGCAGTGGGGCTGTGCCCGCACTGCTCGGGTTAAATGTTAATTTGTGTCTAGGGGTTTCAGAAACTGGAGATATACTTACCTAATCTGCTGATCCTCCGAGGGCAAAATCAGTCCCTGCTGCTCCTGGCACAGCCTCACTGCATGGGGAAAAAAACATTTTAACTGAAGTTTTGCTTTTAAATACCATAGACATGGTGCGGTTGCACAGTACGTCTAAGAATTTTCTGATATTTGGTATTGTGAAAATTAGAATTTTAGTTCTTATAGCTATGTTTTGTCATAGATTTCATATCTCGTTACAGGTCATCGGACTCTTAGATGTTTTTACTCCTTCAAAGTCATTTGATGACTTTAATGATGTGTGAGTATGAGGTTTTTTTTTTTTTTTTTTCCTTTTCTTTTTTTTGTATATGCCATAATTATATATTCTGGAAAAAGTATCTACTTGATAAAGTCTTGTGTGCTCTTCTGCTGAAACAAATGTATAGGCTGTCTCTTTTGACACCTTCCTAAATATTGGTTGCCTGTCTTTCTTTCAGTCACAGATCTGAAATAAGATGTTGCAAATGATTTTTGAATTTGCTTTAGGCCAGTGACTCAGGTTTTGATGCCAAAGGATCAACCAGACACCTAGGAAGTTCAAAATAAAAAGATAGCAGTGGCAGCCTCTCAATTCGCTTTTTCCTTTTAAAAAAAAAAAAGGGGGGGGGAGGGGGAAAGCAGTGCTGGTGTGAAAACATTACTTTGGACTGTTCCCATAACTTTCTGTTCTGAAGTCTGCGTCCCATACTGATAGTAAAGTTGTTTCTGTTCTTTAGAAAAATCTTTTGTTCAACTGTGTTATTGCAAAGCTGATTCCTGAATTGGAGTGTCTGTGTCTAATCAGCTGATGCACTTCCTGCCACATTTGCAGTGAGTACATACATTTTAGAAGTAGTTAGTTAACCATTGGGGAGTATCTCCCCAAAATGAAATTTATATTGCAGAGGATGCCTAAACGTTTGTACCTTAGTGCAAGCTTCTGGGAATATCAATGAGCCAATTGCACAAGCAGGAAATTATATTAATAGGGAAGTTCTGAACACCAGTTGTATATAAAAGGCCTCCACGTTGCTATACTTAATTGTGTTTTACAGAAAATTACTGTGGCTGCAGATTGCAAGGTAATTGTAGTATCATTACAATATGGCTTGTGTAGCAATTGTATATGCTTTGGTGTTTGTGTTTTTTTTTGTTTTTTTTTTTTTTTTTTTGTTTTTTTTGTTTTTTTGTTTTTTTTTTTATTTGCCTGTTATTTTTTCTTCACAAAAATTGAGTTACCCTTTAAGTAAGAAAACAGTACTATCCATGTTCTTTAGAAATCCCATATGTCATGGGTGTGCCCTGAATTAAATGTTAATGTTTAAAATAAAGGTTTTCTATAAATGGTAATAGAAAAAATCAAACGTTTATATATGAACACCAAACTATTTCATGTTAAAAGTTGACCTACATGTGAGCTTTCTTACCTGCCAAAAAACGTTTTGTAGTTCTGGTTAGACAGTCTTGTGGTATTCACACACCTGCCACATTATATAGTTAGAAGGTAGCACTGCAGTTTTAATGTCCACAACCTAAATTGTCTCCACCCTGCTTTTAAATTGCTAATTGGGTTATGAAAGAGCATTGTAATACTGGGGAGGTCCTCTCAATAACCTTTTGCTGGGCGTTTTAATATATTTTTAATGAGACTAGCGGCTGTCACTAACTATCAATGTTTTACCTTTTTTTATATCTAGATATCTGGTAACACATCTAATGGGAGCAGATCTTAACAATATTGTAAAATGTCAGAAGCTGACAGATGATCATGTGCAGTTCTTAATATATCAAATTTTAAGAGGTCTTAAGGTAAGTAGACAGTCCAAACTTGATAAAAGGGGATCTGTCCCTTTTACCCCAGAAAATAAAAGAAAAAAACCCACTTCTTGATCACACATACACTATATAGCCAAAAGTATTGGGACGCCTGCCTTTACACGAACATGAACTTTAATAGCATCCCAGTCTTAGTCTGTAGGGTTCAATATTGAGTTGGTCCAGCCTTTGCAGCTATCATATCTTCAACTCTTCTGGGAATGCTGTCCACAAGGTTTAGGAGTGTGTCTATGGGGATGTTTGACCATTCTTCCAGGAGCGCATTTTTGAGGTCAGGCACTGATGTTGGACAAGAAGGCCTGGCTAATTCATCCCAAAGGTGTTTTATCGGGTTGAGGTCAGGATTCTGTGCAGGCCAGTCAAGTTCCTCCATCCCAAACTCGCTCATCCATATCTATATGGAGCTTGCTTTGTACACTGGTGCGCAGTAACAGGAAGGGGTCATTCCCCACAAACTTGGGAGCACAAAATTGTTCAAAATGTGTTCGTAAGCTGACGCCTTAAGTGTTCCTTTCACTGGAACTAAGGGGCCAAGCCCAACCCCTAAAAAATAACCCCACACCATAATCCCCCCTCCACCAGTCTTTTGCAGTCTTTTGTAGTCAGGCAAGTACCAGTCTCCTGGCAACCGCCAAACCCAGACATGTCCATTGGACTGCCAGATAGAGAAGCGTGATTAGTCACTCCAGAGAACACGTCTCTACTGCTCTAGAGTCCAGTGGAGGCTTTGCATTGCATTTGTTGATTTAAAGCTTGGATTCAGCTGCTCTTCCATGGAAACCCATTCCATGAAGCTCTCTACACACTGTTGTTGTGCTAATCTGAAGGCCACGCAAAGTTTGAAGGTCTTTAGCTATTGAATCTGCAGACAGTTGGCGACTTCTGTGCACTGTGTGCTTCAGAATGTGCTGATCCCGCTCTGTCATTTTACATAGCCTACCACTTCGTGGCTGAGTTGCTGTTGTTCCAAGTTGCTTCCACTTTGTTATACCACTAACAATTGAATATTTAATAGCAAGGAAATTTCAGATATGGACTTATTACACAGGTGGCAACCTATCACTGTACCACGCTTGAATTCACTGAGCTCCTGGGAGCGACCCATTCTTTCACAAATGTTTGTAGAAGCAGTCTGCATGCTTAGGTGCTTGATTTTATACACCTGTGGCCATAGAGGTGATGGGAACGCCTGAATCCAATGATTTGGAGGGCTGGCCCAATACTTCTGGCAATATAGTGTGTGTGCTGAAGGTTAAAGAAAAAAAAAGAAAAGATTAAGCTTCCATACAAATGCACTTTTTTGTGTTACATAAAAGAAGGCATCCCAGCATCATTTTTCTCCCCAACCTATCTGATTGTGAGCTATTTTAATGTATACGCAGATCTAAACAAAAAACTAAAATAATGTGGTTGCATAAGTGTGCTCACCCTCTTATAACTGGGGATGTAGCTGTGTTCAGAATTAAGCAATCACATTCAAAATCATGTTAAATAGGAGTCAGTACAGATCTGCCATCCTTTAACCACTTGAGCTCCTGAGGATTTACCCCCCTTAATGACCAGGCCTCTTTTTGCTACTCGGCGCTGCACTAATTCAACTGATAATTGCGCGGTCATGCAACGCTGCACCTAATTGAAATTTACGTCCTTTTTTTCACACAAATAGAGCTTTCTTTCGGTGGTATTTGATCACCTGTGCACTTTTTATTTTTCACGCTATAAACAAAAAAATACCATATCTGGCACGCTTGCTGGGGAGAAATTGTTTGAATGCAAGGCGGCCAGAAAAATTAATAAGGGACTCCTCAACGCATATGTTTTGCTGGGGAGTATAGACATCTGCAAATTTTAGGTTAAGGTGATTTGCAAGGGGCTGAATTTTGTGGAGCCGGTCAAATTCAGGGTTACCCCGAGGATGACAGAGTGTATTGTCGCTGAAATGCATAAAACACATTATACTGGGTCCCCAGTGACACCAATACAGTGATCAGTGAAAAAAACACCCACTGACACTGTACTAATGGCACTGGGGAGGAAGGGGTTAACATTTTTAGGGTTAACTGTGTGAGGGGAGTGTTTTACTAGGGGGCGGGGGTGTGTGCTGGACGGGGGCAGGCTGATCGGGAGAGAGAAACTCTTCTCTTCCTCTTCAGCTTGTCAGGAGCTGACAGGCAACTGACAGATAGCAGGGCTGTGTGTAAACAATTTCCTAGGCATTAGATATACCATGGAACACACTGAAGACCGTCATCAAGTAGAGATAATATGGCGCAACAGTGACATTACCAAGAACTGGACGTCCCACCGAAATTGATGAAAAGATGAGAAGAAAACTTGTCTGGGAGGCTGCCAAGAGGCCTAGAGCAACATTAACCACTTGCCAACCGCGCTATAGCCAAATGATGGCTACAGCGCGGTTGTCCTGTTCTGGGAGGGCGTCATATAACATCCTCCCAAAACGCACCCTCCTGTGCGCCCCTATTGGCGTGCACCCGCTGATCTCTGCAATAGCTGTGTTTGCCTTTTACCACATGATCAGCTGTGTCCAATGACACAGCAGAACACCGGGTAAATGCAGTTGCCAGTTATCGGCTGCACTTTCCTCACGCTGACAAAGTACTGCAGATAACCGGCAACTGTCAGAAAACAGATCTGCTCTGCTTATCAGTGCCACTCACCTTTGCCCACCAGTGCCACCCATCAGTGCAGCCTCATCAATGCACATCAGTGAAGGAGAAAAATTACCTGTTTGCTAAATTTTATAATAGACACAAAGAAACTTTTTTTTTTTTTTTTCAAATTTTTTTTGCTCTTGGTTTTGTTAATAGTGCAAAAAATAAAACATCCAGCGGCAATTAAATACCACCAAAAGAAAGCTATTTGTAAAATAATTATAAAAATATTTCATATGGGTACAGTGTTGCATGACCACGCAATTGTCATTCAAAGTGCGACAGTGCTGAAAATTGTCCTAGGCAGGAAAGGGGGTTTAAGTGCCCAGTAGGCAAGTGGTTAAAGGAGCTCCAGGAATATCTAGCAAGTACTGGCTGTGTGGTACATGCGACAACAATCCCCCGTACTCTTCATATGTCTACGCTATGGGGTAGAGTGGCAATATGAACTCTTTTCTTACGATGAGGGAATTATGAACAGTTCCAAATACCAGTCAATATTGGCACACAACCTTCATGTTTCTGCTAGAAAGCTGAACATGAAAAGGAACTTCATCTTTCAGCATGACAATGACCCAAAGCATACGTCCAAATTGACAAAGGAATGGCTGCATCAGAAGAAGATTAAAGTTTTAGAATGGCCCAGGCAGAGCCCAGACCTGAATCTGATTTGGAAATCTGTGGGGTGATCTGAAGAGGGTTGTGCACAGGAGATGCCCTTGCTATCTGACAGATTTGGAGTGTTTTTGCAAGGAATTGTGGGCAAATAGTCAAGATATGCCATGCTGATAGACTCATACCCAAAAAGACAGTGCTATCAAAGTCAAAAGGTGTTTCAACATATTCAATCATAACAGTATTAGTTTAAGGGTGCTCACACTTATGCAACCATATTCTTTGTTTTTTATTTTTACTTCCCTCCACCTAAACTATTTCAGTTGTTCAACTTTAGTTGTGTGGTTTATAGGTCGCACTGAAGTTTGAAAAAGTTTCTGAAATAATTTCTTTTTTTTACATCACAGAAACCTGACATTTTAACAGGGGTGTGTAGACTTTTTATATCTACTGTATGTGGAGGACGCAGTACTTACTCCAAGGCTCCTCTGTATACTGCGGTCCTAACTCGACAATTCTCTTACGTTCATTGGCGGACACAGCTCTTCTATTCTTGACCATAGGATCATAGCGCCACCTACAGGAGCAGGACACTAGGCGGAAGTAGAACACGGCACTGCCTGTGAGCAGTCCTTTGTGGTATAAACCCCCTGTCTGCTATAGACAAGCCAGTTATTTCTGCCTAATGTTTTTAAGGAGTAAGAACCTAGTTCCCTGCTGGTACCTGTGGTTTTTTTTTTTTTTTTTTTTTTGTCTATTGTATGCGTTTTGAACCCCATCCGATGTCACATGAAAAGATCATTGATTTTGTTGTGGTGGTTCACATATATGTGGTTCAGCCAGAGTGCTGATTCAGTGCGAATTCCAAATGGGACCAGTACATTTTCTGAGCAGTGTGTTCTGGTTTGGGTGTGATTTCAGGCTCATTGACTTATATGGGAACACGATTTCAGCGCCTTTTTCTCTCTTCAGATCCAGTCCTGAACTGCATCTGAACCGCTGAAATCTACTTTAAATTTACACTGAAACCGCATGGCACTGCACCTAGTGTGAATCCGCTCTTAATGAACATCTGGGCTGGGCGATGGTCTGCACAATCTAGATGCAGTGGTCACCCCAATCTGGTCAATGAGCACATGCAGAGCTTTAGCTACACGCTGGGTCAGCTGCAACAGTCTCATCCTGGTCTGGGGTGGCTAGGTGCTAGGTATTAACATTTCTTACGGTTTGCGAATAGTGATGCACATTATCTTTTGTGGCGCTTCCTTTTGACCTGACTTCAGCTTCTGAGATTTTTACCAAGCTGCTGGCCTCGGTACTGGTATTGAGGAGATGCTGGGAGGATTGCTGAAATGGCAACTGGATGATCTGATAATCCTCCTCTGCTAGTGGAGACTTATTTTGCGTTGATGGACTCCGTGATGTTCACGATGCACTCTGAAATTCAGGACCCATCGGAATTCCTGAAACACTCCGTCTTGTCTCCCTACAAGAAGGTGGGGGTTCCTGGGTCTGATTTTCAACTTAACGCGGGCCTAGGTGTTTTTCCCGATGAACAAGCTCCAGGAGCTTTGGATGGAGGTCTTGCTGCTCCTGTCTAACAGACAGTCTTTGTTGCAGTCTTGCATGCAGGTCCTGGGACCTATGGTTTCTACCTTCAAGGTAGTCCCATATGCGCAGTTCCCTGCGATGGTCCTGCAGAGAGAATTCCTAGCCACTGGGACAAATCTTTGGCTTCCCTGGTCGACCAGATTCACCTGGGTCTGTTGACCGGCGCCTCTCTCCTCTGCTGACTTCAGTCTTCCCACCTAATGATTGGGAAGTTCTTTCTCCCCTTCACTGGATAGTAGTCACCATGGATGCCAGCCTGTTTAGCTGAGAGGGGGTCCTAGGCTTGAGACCGGCTCAGGGTCGTTGGACACCGATGGTGGCTTGGCTGCCTATCAGTGTCCTGGAGCAATATGCTTTCAGGCTGTGTCTGGGTCGATGGATTGATCCTTCTCCAAGGATGCCAAGTCAGGATCCAATCTGAAAACGCCACTGTGGTGTCCTGTGTCAACTCCAGGATGGTACAAGGAGTTGGACAGCAGCGCTGGAGGCTTCATGCATCCTTCGGTGGGCAGACCTTTACGTACCGGCTCTCTCCGATGTGTATGTTTCAGGCTTTGGGAATTGACAGGTGGATTACCTCATTTGCCTGACACTAGATCAGGCAGAGGGGTCCCTACACCCAGACATGCTCCATCTGATCTGTCTAGGTTGGGGGAACCCTGGATGTGGATATTCTGGCGCCTAGCCTCAACAGGAAGGTGCTGAGGTTTTTTTTTTTAATTTGTGATTACGAACAGCCGCTCTGTGGAGGGGGGGGGGGGTATGTGTGTGGGTCTTTGGCATGTTTGCTTAGTTGCCTCGTGTGGGTTTTGTGTTTGCGCACTTTTGGGATGGTTGTATCTATCAGTGTAGGAGGAAACACGTTTTTTTTTTTTTTTTTTTTTTATTATTGTATTTTTCTTTAGTTCATTGATGGAAACAGCACCCACCATTCTTCTTGAGTTTTTCTTACGTTGCTTTGTGACTACGGCCTCACGCACACTGGACATGTTTACAGCTGCTTCTTCTAGGGGTATCTGCGTTTTTTTTTTTTTCCCCTGTTTCTAAACTTTTCTGCATGTTAGCCTATGTGTCCATGCTTGTATAAACTTTTAGAAGAGTTTAGAGGCAGGAATAAAAACTCACTGCCAGTGCATGCAGGAGTAGCAGTTTTGGCAGAAAAATTGCTTGATGCTTCTAAACGTTGCCATTTCATGTGCATGCAAAAAATCTTGTCATATTTGGCGCAACATCATCTTTTATATGTTAACGAAATTAAGGAATTGTTTGTACTAATATTCATTTAACTATTTTTTTCCCCTCAAAATTTGTGTTTGATAAACCGCTGCGCAAATATTATGTGATAAAAACAATTGCGACAACCGCCATTTTATTCTCCAGAGCCTCTGCTTTCAGAAAGTATATTCTAATTGGGGGTTCTACATATTTTTCTTAAAAAAAAAAAAAAAAAAAAAACTGCTGATTTTCACATGTATCTAGTGGTCAATATCAGATTTATTAGAACAATTTTTTGTCACCGCTTGTTTTCTTATGGATGTCCATCTTTGTCTTTATTACAGTATATTCACTCAGCTGATATTATTCATAGGGTAAGTACTACTATGTTTGAAAACTGATGTTTATGCTCTACTGCCAAGTTGAACATACAACTGTCATGATGTGCCCTGATAATGGAGCTGTAAATGCACAAAGGTTTCATTTTGAAAACTGTGATTATAGCAGCCCATCCCCACAAAAAAATATGAATCCGTTACGCAAGATGTCAAATTGAACTTGAAGCTGCTATTGTGTTGGCACTTTTTTTCCATCTTGTTTATACCACATGTTCACCTCCATAGCCACATACGTGCTTTTAATATTGCCTGAAACTGGGCAGGTTTAAACATGAGGTAGTTCCAAAAAATTAGCAGATTATGTGGGTATATACTCTCCTGGGCTGAACTATCACAATGGATGCCTGAGAAGCAGACCAGAAGATTGCCTGGTATGCAAGCTTTGGCTGCTCTCTTTTGTATTTACAGCTCCTTTACATTGGTAATCTGCTTTTGTAGAGTTATAACATAAGACCCTGCCATACATCTGCACTTTTACCATTCCTTCATTTTTATTTTTTTTTATCCTGCTCCTTTTGAATTTTCTTATTACTGTGGTCTAAAATGAACATCAATTTATCCTTATCAACGATTCAAAAATTGAAAAATGTTTTTAAAATGCAAAATTCTACTAGTTTGGCCAGCTTTATCCCTTCTCCTAAGCCATTAACAGTCTGGTTCTAGAACCAAAGTGGCCAGTTTAGCTTCATGGCCAAACTTTTAAATGGTGGTTTTGAAAGGGACATCAAAGTTTTTTTGTTTTTCATGTAGATGTTATAACGAACTCTTAATATTTACTCACTAAAATATACAAGTTTCTCTTCAAAAGTACCTAATTAATTTTGAATCAAATCTTTTATTTTTTTTTTTTTTTTCTTGTATCTAAAGGACTTGAAACCCAGCAACCTTGCTGTTAATGAAGATTGTGAGCTGAAGGTTCGTTATTTCTTATGTTCTTGTAACTATAAAGGTGTTGGGTGTGCTCTATCATGGTACTGTAAATCCCTGTTTAAAAAGCTAGTAAGGTAGATGGCTTCTTATTTTACTTTAGATGCTTTGCTCCAATGGCTTTACATAGAGCTTTACAGTAAATGCTTTAACATTAAATCAGGTCTGCTCATCCAGTCAACTGTGATGTCATATAAAATTCTACTTTTTTTTCTAATGTATGGAGTCAGTTTGTTTTCCTGCTATTAATCCTTATGAACACTTGCATTGACACGGTTTTTTTGGTAACATGGCTGCAAGAATGTATATAGTACTTCTGATCATTTACGTATGCTTACACGTCTGCCCATTGTACACTTTTTTTGTTTTTAAACAGCATTTACAATGTGTACATATACATTAGACATGCTATTATTGCATATTTGAAGAAGCTCTTAAAGCTTAAATTCATCAGCAATTGGTGCAGTTCCTTGTGCGCACATGCCTTACTTTAGTGTTCCTATCCAAAGGGATAGCGGAGCACCCTGCCTGCTGTAAATGGTATCTATTCTGGTTTGGCAACTTTAGACTGGGAAAAACCATCTGTCTCCCAATCATTATTGTGGAGAACCTGTCAGCCTTATATTGCTTGGCAACTTGTTGGCACTAAGTGTTGATCACTGCAACAAAGGAACATCACACATCTAACACCAGCAGGCATGACATATTGTGCCTCTTGTATAATAATTCTTGTTTGTGTGACGCTCTTACCTTTTTTTTTTTTTTTTTTTTTTTGTAAGGTTTTGTATATTTAATTCCATCTTTCATTGTTGTGTCTCACTACTGTTTATACAGTCAGGTCCATAAATATTGGGACATGGACACAATTCTAAAATTTTTGGCTCTATACACCACCACAATGGATTTGAAATGAAACGAACAAGATGTGCTTTAACTGCAGACTGTCGGCTTTAATTTGAGGGTATTTACATCCAAATCAGGTGAATGGTGTAGGAATTACAACAGTTTGCATATGTGCCTCCCACTTGTTACGGCACCAAAAGTAATGGGACAATTGGCTTCTCAGCTGTTCCATGGCCAGGTGTGTGTTATTCCCTCATTATCCCAATTACAATGAGCAGATAAAAGGTCCAGAGTTCATTTCAAGTGTGCTATTTGCATTTGGAATCTGTTGCTGTCAACTCTCAAGATGAGATCCAAAGAGCTGTCACTATCAGTGAAGCAAGCCATCATGAGGCTGAAAAAACAAAACAAACCCATCAGAGAGATGGCAAAAACATTAGGCGTGGCCAAAAAAACAACTGTTTGGAACATTCTTAAAAAGAAGGAACGCACCGGTGAGCTCAGCAACACCAAAAGACCCGGAAGACCACGGAAAACAACTGTGGTGGATGACCGAAGGATTCTTTCCCTGGTGAAGAAAAACACCCTTCACAACAGTTGGCCAGATCAAGAACACTCTCCAGGAGGTAGGTGTATGTGTGTCAAAGTCAACAATCAAGAGAAGACTTCACCAGAGTGAATACAGAGGGTTCACCACAAGATGTAAACCATTGGTGAGCCTCAAAAACAGGAAGGCCAGATTAGAGTTTGCCAAACGACATCTAAAAAAGCCTTCACGGTTCTGGAACAACATCCTATGGATAGATGAGACCAAGATCAACTTGTACCAGAGTGATGGGAAGAGAAGAGTATGGAGAAGGAAAGGAACTGCTCATGATCCTAAGCATACCACCTCATCAGTGAAGCATGGTGGTGCTAGTGTCATGGCGTGGGCATGTATGGCTGCCAATGGAACTGGTTCTCTTGTATTTATTGATGATGTGACTGCTGACAAAAGCAGCAGGATAAATTCTGAAGTGTTTCGGGCAATATTATCTGCTCATATTCAGCCAAATGCTTCACAACTCATTGGACGCCGCTTCACAGTGCAGATGGACAATGACCCAAAGCATACTGCAAAAGCAACCAAAGAGTTTTTGAAGGGAAAGAAGTGGAATGTTATGCAATGGCCAAGTCAATCACCTGACCTGAATCCGATTGAGCATGCATTTCACTTGCTGAAGACAAAACTGAAGGGAAAATTCCCCAAGAACAAGCAGGAACTGCAGACAGTTGCAGTAGAGGCCTGGCAGAGCATCACCAGGGATGAAACCCAGCGTCTGGTGATGTCTATGCGTTCCAGACTTCAGGCTGTACTTGACTGCAAAGGATTTGCAGCCAAGTATTAAAAAGTGAAACTTTGATTTATGATTATTATTCTGTCCCATTACTTTTGGTCCCTTAACAAGTGGGAGACACATATGCAAACTGTTGTAATTCCTACACTGTTCACCTGATTTGGATGTAAATACCCTCAAATTAAAGCTGACAGTCTGCAGTTAAAGCACATATTGTTTGTTTCATTTCAAATCCATTGTGGTGGTGTATAGAGCCAAAAATGTTAGAATTGTGTCCATGTTCCAATATTTATGGACCTGACTGTAGATGATAGAGCTCCTGAAGCTGAGAAGTGGTCCTCACACCTCAGCCTCAGTATCTTTTTTGGAGATTAAATGCTTCTTTTTGCAAGGGAGACTTGTGGAGTTATGATTTCCAGTCCGTTTCTACGGCTCACCCATTGTGACCTTGCTCACCCCCAGTTTTCAAACCTTTTGTTGGCCACCAGTTGCCAGGATTTGTGAGTACCAGAAGCCTTGTCTCTTACTCTGAGCTTGGTGTTGCAGTCACAACATGTCTGTGTCTAGACACAGAGGGGTATGTGCTGCTGCAGCAGATGAACCCAGCCTAGACTCGCCTAATGGTTCTGGGGACATATTTTCTGTTTCTTCTAAGGACAAAGATATCTAAAATCCAGTAACCCTACCGTTATTGAGCCTACTGCACCCTTTAGCTCTGTCAGTGAGGCCATATTCCCTGCATTATTAAGCTTTTACTGCAGTCATACAAGACTTTGTGCCCAAATTCACCCAATTCCTTGCAGATGCTGACTTCAGAGACTCTAAGCATGCAGATCCCTGCAGATTAAAGTTTTGATCTTTCTGTGCCACTAGAAGTAGCTGAACCTCCAGGTCACAACGATTATCTCCCCAAGGTGTTTTTATGATGATACTGTTTTTAAAGAACCACAATCTCCTGCCATTACCTCAGATGTACAAGTAAACATTTGGAACTTGTTGATTCATTACATAGGACCTTCATTTTGGTGGATGTTTCAGAGCCCTTACATTTTCAAAGACCTTTTCACTGTACCCACTATTTAACATTTTCCTTTATGCAGTCTGGAAGCACCCTGAAGGGTTCTGTATTCCACCAGAGAGTTGGAACTGTTTCCCATTAAGAGGGAATTTGTTAGTGTAACCAACAGCAACATTTTTTTTGTTTTCATTTTGGATAGAGTAAGGGAGGGTTAAAACACCTCTCAGGTTTTTTTTCCATATGTGTTCCATTGAGGAGATTTCCTTTTAATTTCCTTTCCTATAGTCAAAACAGGAAGTGAGAGAAAATCCCTCCAAATTGAGGGAATCCTGAGGTTTCAGCAGAGTCAACAGGACTAGTGTCCCCATTGGAAGATTTCCCCTCTATTCCTGTTCTGTTTCTTATACTTTCATTTTCGATGATATTGATAAACTGGACCAATAGAGAGGTTGAATATTCTTAATCTGACAGGGTTTATAATCCCTCTCTACTCTCTCTAAAACTGAAAAAAAAATTTAAATTTGCCTTTAGTTAGACTTTAAACTGTGGTATCCACAGTATAACCCTGGGTTCTCTTCACCTAGTGGCTCTGGCTGTAGTTCCTGTGTCAGTTTGACAACTGGAGATGTATCGTATCCTATCCTGGCCACCACTCTGTCCTTCTTCTAAGAGATTCTCTCCTCTTGGGGTCTAAGGACATCAGTGGTACTTGGTACCCCTCAGTGTCATCTCTTTCCATCTTCAGAGGGGCTCTGTGTATCCTGTCTGGTAAACTGGAGCCAGCCTTGGATGTCCTCTGCCCTAACAGGATTTTGTATCCTCAGTATCACCCCCGTACACCTGGTACTTCTCAGAATGCCTTTTCTTGGCATTCTGTTGTGGGATACTCAGAAGACCTCTGTAAAATAAGTAGTCACCATGAACCTTGGTGGGCAAACTGTCGAAGGGCTACACACCTGCAAGATGGTAGCTTCTGGACATAGAGGAGAGATTCATGCACCTTTTTGTGTAACAGCAAACCTTATTTTGCAGGTGAAACATGGCGAAGTAAGGCCCTGTGTCTTTCTGTGCTGTCTACAGGCAGGACGTAGTAATAGTAGTAGTGATTACATTGCAGAGCCTGTCCCTGTCCACCTGACATTAGGCCCCCATTCTTTAGCTGTCTCATAGACTCCAGAAGGAAGGCTTGTTGGCCACTTTTTCCTGTTTCACATTTTCTCAGGTGTTTACACCTTATCTTTTTGGGACTTTTGTCCTTTGTTCTACAGATGCTGCTGCTAGGTTTTGTATCTGGAGGGTTAGGAACCTTCTTGCTTCTAATTGAGGTGTCAAGGATCAACAAAATTGTTTTCCACCAGGATGCTTCTTAGAGTAGGCCCAGAGGTGTTTCTTGTGCGGTGGTGTGTGTCTAGCTTTTTTTTTGTCTCCGTCTGGGTTGCTACGAATCTCACTTTTTTATGGTAGGTTCTGCTTTCATTTCCTGCCTTTTTTTTTTTTTTTTTTTTTTTTTTTTTTTTGAGGGGGTGTTACCATGCACCATACCCCTTCTGTCATGCTGACTTTGTGGGAATGAATTCTGGTTATCCCTGCTTGACTTGTGAGTTATGTTCACATCCTTGCAAGTTGTTGTTTCTAATCTATTTCAGGGTCCTCCCTGTTGAGCCTCGCCTTGGCAACAATCTCTAAAATTAAAAGCGCCTGTTTTCTTGACCCTTATGAGGTAAGGTTAGTATAGACTTGGGTCCTTCCTTCTCAAACCAGCAGGTCTTGTCCTTACAATTTTTTTTTTTGCAGTTCCCTTATGTGTTATCTATTTCTTCTAGGCACTTAATCCCTTTTTTTGACCATGTTGGCTGTTGGTTTTGTTCCTTCCCTAATGGGAATATGTTAATACTCCACCCTTGGTGAGTTCTGGTTATCTAGCTTCTTAGTTGGTCTATGATTTAGTGCTCCCTTCCATGTTGAGTCATTCCTCTCTGGATGGTTGGTGACCAATTTTCTTCCATGTCTTGGGCATTAGGTTGATTGTCCATGTTAACCCTCTGGTTGTGTTAGCAATGTCCCCTATCAGGCAGGAGGTTCAGCCTCATCCAGTGTTAGGTTTGGGCTCTAGTCTTTCAGGCAGCTCGTACGCTGCATGCAGTCTCTTCTCCTTTTGTTGAGTCTCAACAGGTTGTGTTTTTTTTTTTTTTTTTTTTTTTTTTTTTTTTGTTGTTACCAGATTTCAAATTGATCTAAAAGTAATATTTCCTGAAGAAAAAGGTTTATACTTACCTGCTCTGTGCAACAATTTGAGCGGCCCCTTTCTTCTTTAGATTTCAAAGTTACTCCAAAAAAAATCATATATATTAATCAAGCAGTACAGGACACAGGGTTTATATTCATGGACCCTGGGTTACAATATATGCAGGCTACCTTCAAGTGATTGGACACTGGCAGAATACTAGTGCATGCTTATTTAACCCCACCCACTTTGTTCTTTGGAGAAATTGTTTTCCTTTTAACCATTTTCTTATGACACTTCTATCAAGATCTGACTGTTGCTCTGGGTTCTAGCAGTAACCTTTGCGGACTGTACTTGGATCCTACATCGTGGGGCCAGTCTGTAATGTAATTTCCTGCTGCTTTCTGATACAAAGACACAGCCACAGGAACTTGGTCAGTGGCTTCTGCATTCCAGACGCACGTTTCGTTTGTATCCAGTTCCATGTGTACCCCACCAGGGATCCCTTCAATGACAGATCACAGGCACAAGGGAACTGGGCCAAATAGTACGTTTTTGGCTGTTCTCTTGTTCTGAAGCAATGTCCTAACAACTGCTCCCCTCAACTAAATCTAGCTCTCCCTTTTGGGCGCTTATAATGTGGCCTATCCGACACAAGCAGATTTCTCTGCCACCATGTCTGAATTCTCTGGAAAACTTTCACCTTTCTTAGAACCTTGCATTTCCAGGGCCTAAATTTGCTATACTTGCTCTGTTCCCCCTGACTTTGTTCATGAATTGGAGTTAGAACCTTTAAAACTGTTTAAGCCCTGGCTCACACATGTCCGTTTTTGGATGTGTTTTTAGTGGGCAGATTCGCATGACCACAGAAATAGAATGGATCCCTATGTAGGGTGTTCACATATATGTGGTACATCTGCAGTGTGTTTTTGGAAAAGGGTTGCATGCGAGTTTTAGCAGCGCAATTCGAATTTGCATTGCAATCAAGTTCAGCGGGACCTGCATGTGAAGAACCGCATGAGATTCTCACTGGCAGCATCGCAGTACGAAATGGAGCAATATGGATCCACAGATGTGTGAACCTAGGCCAAGGGGGCAATGGAAGAAAGTAGTGGGGACACAGATCTTGTAGCGGAAGATGCATAGTATTTTGTAGCCCCTGCATTTTGAGTCTTAAGCTACGAATTCTTTACAAATATGCTCTTCACTGTCAACACGCTGATTTATTCAGTGCAAACTAGTTTTTTTTCCTAGTAGAACCTGAGTTTCTATAGCAAAAACAAGCCCCTGGGCACTAAGAGGGTGGCAGAATCAAAGGCTTATCTTAAGCATACAGTACAGGACATAGGAATGGATTCATAGACCTTGGGTTATACGCTGCTACCTTCTGGTGATTGGACACTTGCAAAAGCTTTGCTGGGACCGCTCCCAGTGTATCCATATAACACTGCCCCCCTCTGTGAAGCTTCTGTTTTTGCTAGTGTCCTTAGGTGATGGACCTCTTCTGTTAGAGATTTGTTACAAGATTGCTTTTCCTCCTTCAACAGAGATTTCTTTCAAGATATAACTGTTTTTTGTCTTTTGGAACACTAGCAGTTTCCAGTTTGTATACACACAATGTATATCTTTTGGGAACCGCAACCAACAGCAGGGCTGGTCTGTAATGTTTGCTTTGGGCACTGGATCCTGGCACGTGGTGCAACGGGTGCAGTTAGCCACAGGGTGCTTTACAGGTCCAGCACCATGGTCCATTCTGATGGCACCCAGACACTGAAGACTCCTTGATGGGTGAAGCCTGGACCCTTGATGGCACCGGCAACATGGAATGTCAAGACTACCTGTACCTATTATGTACCAGTTCCTGGCTATTGCATATCTTGTTGGATCTTAACTTGGATCTGTGCAAACATCTTTTTCTTTTTATCCTACAAGATACACCACAGTGTAAATGTACAAATTATTTTTAAAGGCACAGGTCATGCGTATTCTACACTGTGTTTTTTGCCTTTAAGGCATTTCGGACAATTTTTGCTTCGCTTCATGGGTGGGGTTAGGATGGTCACATCTTCGCTTGTGAACTGACTCCTGTTTTGTTTTCCCACTTGGCAGTCCCTTTATGGGACTCCTTTCTCCTCTCCCACTCTGCTGGGTTGTAATTTTGCCTTTCATCTAGGGCTATTGCTTCCGGAGAGTTATTCCTTCCCTACCTTAGCCTATTCTCCCAGAGGTGTGGCGTCTGGGGCTCTTTCAGCATCGAGCTTCTATTTTTTTCACAGGTTGTGGGGCCACCACTGTGTTCCCCCCTTGCGGTTGTCTTGAGAATGCATGCTTGGGCTGCAAGGTGCTTCTGCTTGCAATTGCCTGTTAAGGTCTGTTGACCCTTCTTGTTTTTTCATCTGGGCCTGTTGCTGCTATTTTGACTATTTTGTTGTCCACCTCTTGACTTTTTGCTTTATATCCCATTGGCTATTGTACTGTACGATTAGCATAGTGGGGATTTTTACTTGCCTATGAATTCCATATATTGGAGTACAGTGCAGGGCATATATCTCTCCCCTCTTTCCTCTGTGATCTCCTTACTGCTTGCTGAAAAACTGGAGCCTTATGGAGTAGGTAACCCTATACAGATGCATTGGGAGTGGTCCCAACAAAGCATTTGCCCAATGTCCAATTCACTCTCCCCAGGTATCAATCTCAAAACCAAGGCTTAGTACTTCTTTGCGTCACAAGCCTTGGACCGCTAAGTCCACCACACCTGCCTAGAGGTCCTGATAATGGAAGGGAGTCCCACTCCTCGGAGTGGGGGATGTCTATTGGGATTTGTGCCATGGCAAGATAGGCTTGTTTGTTTCGCCCCTTTTATTTTTTTGGGGGGGCACTTAAAGGTAGAGACTGGAGGGGGATGTAAGTGTTATTGGTCAACTTCAAAAGTGGTGTCTTATATGCCTCTGTTATTGTTTGATTTTGGGGGGGGGGGGTGTGTGTGTTGTTTTTTTTTTTTTTTTTTTTTTTGTTTTTTGATATGATAAAAGGTTGCTATGTTCATTAGATTCTAGATTTTGGTTTGGCGCGTCACACGGATGAAGAGATGACTGGGTATGTGGCAACAAGGTGGTATCGGGCACCTGAAATCATGTTAAACTGGATGCATTATAATCAGACAGGTATAGCATGCTCTTTTTATTTTATTGTATACAATTTTCACTTTCACATGCAAGCAACAAAATTGTTGGTTTGTGTAAATGTTTGTTTCTGCTACAATGTTGCAAAAATAAGGTAAAATTGTTTGAAATGTATTTCATGGCTGTGACATTGCCAGTTTTGTATTTAACCTAAAACCTTTGAGATGATTTTCAAGATATGCAGCACTTTTTTTTTTTTTTTTTTTTCTTTAACCGCTTCCTGACTGCCCACAATGTACTGTGGCCGGGTGGCAGCTACAGGCAAAGCAACGTACTCGTACGTCGCTCTGGCTGTACTAACACAGCCAGAGCCCCTGCTGCGACACTAATCACTGTATTACTGCCACTAGTGACATCAGATAGGGTCAGTTAGCACCCCTCCCAGTCAGGGTCAGCTAGCTTAGATTTCCCGCACACTATCACACTCATGCTATAGGTTGCTTTTCACCGCCATTACTAATATAGTGTTTGTACGGACCAATATATTGATCACAAACAGAACTATACTAGTGCCTCCTTTGTATAGTGTTCCCAAAAGGAGTGATAGCAGGATCGGCCCCATTCGCTGCCAGCACTAGCATTTTAGCCCCTCCATGCAAATACTGTGTGACATAAAAATATTTCAAAGTAATTTTCTAGCAAGAAAAAAATTTTTTCTTCATGTGAACAAAAAGTGTCAGAAAAGGCTTAGTCTTCAAGAGTGGGTGATGTGTGGCATAAGCTTCTAATGTTGGCCCTGAAATGCCAGGATAGTAGAAGCAACCCCTCCAAATGACCCCTTTGTGGAAAGTAGACACCCCAAGGTATTTGCTAAGAGGCATGATGAGTATTTTGCAGATCTGATTTGTTGCCACATGTTTTTGTTGATGAAATGAAGAAACCCTGTGACAAAAATTATATCTGTGAAATACACACCATGCCTCTTATCAAATTCCTTGGTGTGTCTACTTTCCAAAAAGGGGTCATGTGGGGGGGTGGGCGGTGGTGTTTGTACTATCCTGGCATTTTAGAACCTCTGAAACTGTGATGGGTAGTAGGGAAATATGAGGAAATTTTTTTTTTTTTTTTACCAAAGACATGTAGCAGAATACATTTTGGCCTAAATTTATGATTAGCTTTGAGCTTACTGGATATTTTTTATAAACAAAAGTGAAAAATATCTTTTTTCAAAATTTCTGTCTTTTTTTTGTTTATATCGCAAAAAGTGAAAACCGTGGAGATTAGCAAATACCACCAAAAGAAAGCTCTATTTGTGTGAAAAAAAGGACATAAATTTTGTTTGGGTGCAGCATTGCACGACCACGCAATTACCAGTTGAAATAGCGCAGTGCCGAACAGCAAAAAAATGGCCTAGTCATGAAGGGGGGGGGGGGGGTAAATCTTCAGGAGGGCAATACTCCAATTTGGTTGGAAGGTTTTCTGTTTTGCCTCTTGCAGTTCTCAGTTGGTGTACAATTTACTCTGTTCCTTGCTTTTCCTTTTTGTTTCTAATTTTTTATTGGCTGAGACAAAACCGTTTAGTCAACAGTAGTGGAGAGAAAAATATTGCAGTTATGATTTCGATAGTTGAGTCTTTATTGTTGTAATGATTTAGTTTAAGTTTTTGTAATGTCTTTCAGTGGATATCTGGTCCGTTGGATGTATAATGGCTGAACTCTTAACGGGTCGAACACTGTTTCCAGGCACAGACCGTATCCTTTCATTCATGCATTTGAGAAACATTTTGAACTTCATTATACAGCAGCCATAAATAAAGGCACTCATCTGATTGCCTTCACTATTCAAGGAAACGTCATTAACCTGCACAGCTTTTGATATTACATAGCAATCTTGAGTCATTTAAAAAAAAAAAAAAAAAAAAAAAAAAATATATATATATATATATATATATATATATATATATATATATATATATATATATATATATATATATATTTTATATTATATATATATATATATAATATTTATATTATTTTTTTTTTTTTTTTTTCTTCTAAGAAGTGTCAGTACAATCCTAAAATAGAAATATAATTCTTCCTGTGCAAATGCGAAACCCCTTCGTTTTAAAAATGTGTGTCCTGTGTTTCCAACAAACGGTCTTTCTCATATTACACCATTTTTTATTTATACTTAACTGGCAAATACTGAGCAAAGTGGAAATCCTCTTAAAAAATTCCTTTTTTTAAGTTAATACTTTGCAGTGACAATTGTGACTTCTACAGTAAGGTCTTGTACAGCACTTTGAAAGTTTGTCAGCTGTGTTTATATTTCCGTATCTGAACTTTTAGTGATCAGGTACTGAAAATTTGTTTGGAAAATGAAAAGTGCTGCAGACTAATAACTTCATTTCTGTTATAACTGCTGTCTGCCTTCAGATTCAGAAGGACATTATGAACCAATGGTTATGAACATTGTTTGTAATAAGTTATATCTGTACAGGAGCTTCTCCATTTCAGGGGTTTGCCAGAGATTTTAGGAACAATTTTGGTCAGAAAAAAGACCAGGCATAATTGCTTTTACTCATGTACTTTGAAATAGTGTTCTGCATCTCAAGTTCTTAATAGGTAAGGAAACATTTGCCTACATAATGGTCTTAATATACAATAAGTCTCTTCTATGTATTTGTAATGGTCTTACTGATTTACCACTTGGCAGATTCTCTCTTATTTTATTTTATTTTTTTATACAATTGTGTGCGTTTTGGCTCTTTATCTGTAGTTGGTGCATGAGCGTTCCGTATTCCTTGTGTTATGTGTTGTTGCTGTTCCTGCTTTGGTGTAAACCATCCCGTTTTCATTTCCCATCTTCAGTAATGTATCTGTGTAACCCTTTCCAAACCCTTTTGTCTTTCTAAAGTAGTCCTGTATGACGGGGAAAGCTCATCCCTACCGTTGTCTGGTTTGTGGCAATTGCGTCACTTGTCACACATTTTCCTTCATAGCCCACCTGTAGATATTGATCAGTTGAAGCTCATTTTGAGGCTGGTTGGAACCCCTGAGCCCGAGCTACTGCAGAAAATCTCCTCGGAGGCTGTGAGTCTTGTTTGTGTCACAGATTAAAATGTGTCCCAGATATTTCTAAGTATTCTCTGCACCCTGAGCTTCCATGGTGAACATTGATATTAAAGGAGTTCCTGATCATTTATATGCATAGCTCTTGCACGATTACATAATAATTCCTCTATGAGATTTCTTATTTCTATAAATTAGAACCTTGTACGGAAATCAAGGTGGCACATAAGTGTTTATGTATTCTCCTTGGCCTAACACTAAAACAAACATCCTAATCTTTTTTCTGAAGTGTGTTTTAAATAATGAGCACCCCCATAATGAAATTACTAAAATGATTACATATTTGCATGCCCACCATTCCCTTTTCCCCTTCATCCTTGCCATTTTCACACTAAAGCTTAAAGGGTAATAATCATAAAACTGTATGTTTGTGAAGCAAGTGAGTCCAGAATTCTGTTTTAAAGTGCCTTTTCCTATTTTAATGATTGGACTGGGTCATATATACACAGAAAGCTTTTTGTAAAAAAAACAAAGGGGGGGGTGGTAGACAGGCATGTGAACAATTGATGCGCATTTACTGATGGGATTCCAAAAGGTTTTTTTTTTTTTTTTTTTTTTTTTCTACCCCATAAGCAGAATTGATTGTTGGGTTTTACATCCTTTTGTGTTGGTTACTACAGTTTTTGAGGTTTCAAAATAATTTGGAATGGTAAACGCCACTTTGTACCCAACCTAAAAAGCATTGCTGATATAGTTGTATTCATACAGTAGTTGCTATACTAAAATAGATGCTAGGAAGGATATGAAGAAAAACGGCATGGCTGTTTTTTGCCTGGCTCTTGGTTGTGGCCTTCATTGTTTGTTTAAAGCTGAACTTTACCCATAACAACTTGACCAAAATTATGTTCTTTAGCAAAGAACATACATTAATAATTATGCTAATTATGCTAGGAAGGATATGAAGAAAAACGGCATGGCTGTTTTTTGCCTGGCTCTTGGTTGTGGCCTTCATTGTTTGTTTAAAGCTGAACTTTACCCATAACAACTTGACCAAAATTATGTTCTTTAGCAAAGAACATACATTAATAATTATGCTCCAAAAATTAGTGTGTGCTGTAAATTGCCTCCAGCATTGTTCCTGTGTCTTCTTGTTGGAGGCTGCCATTTTGCTGAAGCCGAGAGCCCCTGAGCAGCAGTAAATCTTTAGGCTGTCAGCAAATCTGCCTCTTCATGTATGATACAGTGCCAAAAAATAGAGAGCAACTGTTCATGTGCAGAGCAGTATAGGCACTTATTTTTAATGTATTACATAGCTATACCTGCAAAAGGGGCCAGCCTGAAGTGATCTAGCGGGACTGAATTTTGACTAACTTTCCACTTTAACAGGCCTAATCCACACAGGTGAGGTGTTGCAACCCAGTTTACTCTCTCCCAGGCTGTGGTATGATTCTTCACCGTGCCAGTCTAGCAGTCTCCATCTGCTTCCCAATAGATACTTGTGAACGAATGTTGGCAACAAGGTGAAAAGTAAATGAAATCCTCTTTATTGAAAATGATGAGTAAAATGTTCCATAGCATGACCCACGCTAACATGTTTCAGTCCAGAAAATACCTTATTCATAGCCATCATTAACAGAAGTAATACCTTTTAAGAAACTGAGAAAAAAAAAACTGTACAGACCATCCCTTTTTAAACATTTGGGTCTGGGCTTGAAAAAAACACATAAATGGCAAAGGGCAAAAAAAAGGTTTTAGAACTTCACAATATCTTCAACTTTGTTTCATGATCACACCCTTTAAGTATTTTGCTGTGTTCCTGATCTGCATGTCTGTGCCTCTTATTGTGTGGTTAGTATAAAGAGTGTGTGGATGGTGAGAATTCTTTTAAGCATGAATACGTAGAAAAACAAATTGCATGGTTACTGAATTATTAATTTGTGAGCAGAATTATTAGACTGTTTGGAAGTATTCATTTGGATTTGCATGCGGATTTGCACATTTTAAAGTTTGTTTTAGTAATGTCTGATTTTTGGTTACCCATAGTTTTGAAAGTTAGGTGGTATAAACTGGATAATCACATTTGTTTTCATAGCACAGCGTTTTCCAGGAACATGAAGAATGCTGTGCTTGAGCTCTGTTGTATAGGGCAGTGTGTTATATTGCCCTAAGGTGATATTCCCAGTTGCTGACAATGCGGTATGTTCTGCTTATAAAGCCCTTGACGAGGCTCCTAAGATATAAATCAGCTGCAGCAGATCATGCGTCTGACTGGAACACCTCCCTTGTATCTCATTAACAGGATGCCCAGCCATGAGGTGAGGTGCCTATATTTGCTACATAATGTATAGCTAAAAACAAGCTGCATATAAAGTCTGGGCTGAGTTTAAATAAGTGCTTCAACGGGACGGTTGAGCAATGCTATACGATTGGCGAGCCTCAAATACTCTGGCTGTAGGTTCTGAAGTTCAGAGGATGCTTATTCAAGCACGTGTGATCCACTGCAACCAAGCACAAGTTGGCTTTTATCATCTAGTGCGCAGACTAGTCAAATCCGGTTTTTCTTTGGTTTGAATAATCTACAGAAGTTTTGCAAAATTCAGAAACCTAATTATGTGAGATCTGCCCTAAATGTGCTGTTTTTATACATAGAATGCAGTTCCATTCTAACCCCCCACACGATGGAGTTGCTTCTTTCCAGCATCTAATAGTGTAGAATTGTACACCTCTGCCCCTGATTCCCATAAACATTGCAGCACTCTCCCGCAAAAAAAAAAAAAAAAAAAAAAAAAAAGATTTTACTTGACTGGAGTTGCTTTTACACACTTTTGCTGCCTCAGGTGTAAGTATTCCATCCATGGCAGCGCTGGAACGTAAACTGTTTTTTGCTGTCAACTTTTTAATAAAGCAGCTCAGTCACTTCTATATGCTGTGAAATGTGACAGTTGAGTATACTCTCATATTAACATAAACGTGATTGCATATGAAAACGACAATTTGGTCACACATTTTAGATATCACATGCATGTTGGATTAAGAGCAGTAATTCTAGAACCATTATTCACTGTTAACTCTAAATTCATGAGCTAAAACTATACATTTGCTAAGACGCTATTTTATTTGATAGCACAATTATTGTTTGACATTAAAATTTCAACAGCCACTATTTTATTCTATAGGGTCTCTGCTTTCAGGAAATGTAATGTTTGAGGGTTTTAGTGATCTTCAGGCATACAATATGCATTTTTAACGTGTGCAAAAAAAAAAAACTGTCCGTGAAAGGGTTACATTGTAAGCTGGTTTCTACAATTATGTATTAGTCAACCTACAATGCATGCTCTCACTTTCTGTACTTAACGTAACTTTTCATGGAACTGGAAATTACTGATTTAGAGGCAGTCTTTATTAACTGATCTTCTCTACCTTTTCTGCCAATGCCAGGCACGGAACTATATCCAGTCACTGCCATACATGCCGAAAATGAATTTCGAAGATGTCTTCCTGGGAGCCAACCCTCAAGGTTTTTAAAACCATTTATTTTACATGAATTTATTCTTTATTACCTACTAATTTTTTTTTTTCTTTCCTGATTGTATATTGTTACTTTTTGAAGTTTTGAGTTAGTTTTGAAAAAAGTAAAAATTTGCATGGTTTTCTAAGGATTAATAGCAAATACTAGTGCACAATTTGGCACTTATTTAACCCCTTGGTGCCAAGTGTACGCAAATTAGTGGCCCCACTAGACTGGTTTTTTTTCCGTGGGGCCGCAAATTTTCATATCTGTCTTTGTGCTGGGAGCATGCTGCATGGCACTCTCCCAGCACAAAGACCAGGGTGTCAGTGAGAGCGATTGGGACCCGGAATTCGTGATTCTGAGTCACATGATCTCTGTGAAAGCCTCTGATTGCATATCACAGTGATCAGTCACTGTGTAGCCCACCCCCCTCGGTTTCTCTCTCTGAATGGAGGAGAGATACACATTGTCCTGAAAAAAAAAAAAAAACCAAGGTATAATTCACCTGGATGCACAAAGTAGTTGTGATGATATATATACAATTTTGCTAACAAAGTTGCAAAATTGTGGTTGGGCTTTAACCGCCTCCTGCCTGCCATATAAGGAAATGACGGGCACAAGGCGGTTCTCTCGTTCTGGGAGGACGTCATATGACATCCTCCCACTCTCACTGCGTGTGTGCGGCTCCGGGGGCATGCAGCGCGGCGATTGGTGGTGCACTGTGTCCCTTGGACACAGCGGATCAAGGATCATTGGACCGAGCCAAAGACGTCGGCTCGGTCATGTGATCAGCTGTGTCCAGTCACAGCTGATCGCATGTAAATAAGGAAATGCCTGTTATCGGCATTTCTTTTTTTCACGAGCTGTCACGCTGAGAGCTCAAGAGGAGAGTCGGTAATCGGCATTCATCACAAGGGACATGTACACTGATCATAAGGGCACTGATGATCAGTCTAGCCCCAGCAGTGCAACATGTCAGTGTCCATCAATGCCAGCTGCCAGTGCCACATCAATGACACATCAGTGCCCATCAGTGCTGCCTATCCGTGTGTGTCAGTGCCGCCTATCAATGCCATATGAGTGCTGCCTTTCAGTGCCCATCAGTGATGCCTGTCAATGTCCATCAGTGCCACCCATCACTGCAGCATCATTAGCGCACATCAGTGAAGGAGAAAAATCGCTTATTTTACAAAATTTTATAACAAAAACTAAGAAAAAACGGGTTTTGTTTTTTTTAATTTTCAGTTGTTTTTGGTTTGTTTAGGAAAAAATAAAAAACTCAGAGGTAATTAAATACTACCAAAAGAAGGCTCTATCTGTCCCAAAAAAATTATAAAATTTCATTTCAATGATAAAAATTTGACTGCGCAATTGTCATTCAAAGTGTGACAGCACTGAAAGCTGAAAATTGGCCTGGGCAGGAAGGGGATATAAGTGACCTGTAGGCAAGTGGTTAAGATTTGTTTTACCTCTAAGCGTGAAGGGTTAATGCTTGCTGTAGAATTGGTTGCCACCATGCACGTACACTGCATCTGAGGATGTAACAATTGTAGTTCAAAAACTTCTACCGCACAGCCAGGCAGATCAAACTGCTACTTCATTCAGCTTTTATTGCTGTGGGAATGACCTCCCTGCTAATTGGGAAGAGGGGATGATGCTAGCATGAAGAGGTAATATAGGCAGCTACTTTGCTAAACCAGAAAATGCATCCTGCAGTGTTGCAGGAGTGCAAATATCACAAGATTGGTTGACTAGTATTAAAAATCTATCTGCAGGCAAAACTGTAAAAACCATGTGTATTTCAAATATTTCTGAAGCTGTAACCAACCCATTTATAAGGGATAACTGAGGTTAACTAGAGGTTGTTAAAGTGCCAGCTTTATGCAAAAAAAAAAAAAAAAAGTATTGCATGTCTCAGTTTAACATGAGATGCTCTGAACACGGAACAAAAAGCAGTTCAGCAATAGTTCTGCCAACTATGGCCCACCTCTTTGTTGGCTAGTTCTGCCAACGTTGAGGTGGGGAAGCTGATGACACGCATGCACTGTTGTCTGTGTACAATTAGGCAAAAATTGCTAGCAAAGAAGGAAAGTGTTTCTGTAAAGAGATATGGTCTCTGCTATAAAAAACCTACTTGCTTGCAAAGTGAGGTGAGCAAGCTTCTATAGAGATTATGTTCAAGCAAGCTTGACTAAAGCAGTATTAAACCCAAACACAAAAATGTAATATAGTGCAGCTTACCAACTCTTAGGAAATAACACTTTAAAAATTGAAACAAGTGCAGTCACCACATCTATTATTATCTCCATTCCTACAGTCCTTAGATGTGGTGTAGTTTTTTTTTTTTTTTTTTTTTTTTTTCCAAACGAAGAACATTTTTGGCAAATAAAGAAAATACCTGCTGATATTGCCAGAAAGTGTCTTTGTCACTTTCTGTGAGCTGCACTGAAGAATATTTTTCTTCCTAGGCTATCCTCTGTTATGTAAAACTGATTGCCCTATCCCCCTGAGGTGGTGAGGTTTGAATGGAAGAAAGAGATTCTGTGGACAGGTGTTTTTTATACACTTAAGGAGTTGATGTTAGGAGCACCTTCTTAAATTGACAGGACTAATCTGCGTACCACATAAGCATTTAGCCAGTCTGTGGGAGCCAGTATGATTGTTGGTTGGTAGGGGATCAAATACTTATTTTACTCACTGAGCTGCAATTCCATTTATAACGTTTGTGTTTTTTCTGGATTTTTGGTTGATATTTTGTCCCTGTCATTTCAAATACACCTATGACAATTTTAGACCCTTCATTTCTTTGCAAGTGGGCAAACTTGCAAAATCTTCAGGGGATCAAATAATTTTCCCCACTGTATTAGGACAGTAGCCTAGGGTGACAGCTATGGCTTCCACCATAGACTGTGTAGGAATGATGTAGCCACTCAAGAACAAGATGTGCAATATTTTTAGAATTGTTAGGTGAATGCAGCCACCACGCCAATGACCAGAACGCTGCAATATATAAAATTTTTTGGATTTGGATAAAAGTTTACCATATTGCTTTAGCAATTTGTGTAAGTTTGCCCCTAGAAGTTATGGTATTATTTTCTAAAATCGCAGTGGCGATATGTGATAACTTCAGTCCTCCTGCTTAGCTTCAATCTGCTTCAAATAAACTGGAAAATGATACATTGTGTTCATTTCATCCCATGAATTTACTGTTGTATTTTAAAACTTTTGACTTTTCTTTCTAATCCTGTTGTCTCAGCTGTAGACCTTTTGGAGAAGATGCTTGTTTTAGACACGGACAAGAGGATTACTGCAGCAGAAGCATTAGCCCATCCCTATTTTGCTCAGTATCACGATCCAGATGATGAACCTATAGCTGAGCCATATGACCAAAGTTTTGAAAGTCGGGAGCTTGACATAGAAGAATGGAAAAGTAAGTGTACAAAATACCTTTCTCTGTGGCCTTTTTTTAGGATTTTAAGAATACAATCTACAATGTATTGCAAAGATTTATTGCAGCTGCCCAGATTTGGCCTCCCTCTGTAGCATATTTTTGATTAGAGCCATATATAAAGAGATCTGTACAAAGTCAAGTTTAGACTGCATTATCTGTCAAAGAATTGTATAGCAATTTTCCCCTCCCACACACCAAGGCTAAAATACAGCATGTTTTGCACACATCTGTAAAGATTAGTAGCCTTCCTGGATGCATATGCCAATCCAAAAATGGACATTCTCTGTATTTCATGTGAGGCAGAGGTGGTCGATACAGTGGGCCTAACTTGCTGCAACTCTTATAGCACGCACCTCTTTTTAGATATGTGCATTTCAGTTATGTTTCAGGTTAGGGATTGCATAGAGGCACCTTGTCACAGTCTAGCAGTATTATGTTGTTTTCAGTTCCTGGTCCCAATGAGCACCCTTTCAATGGCTCCCCTCACTCTATGGCAGACCTACAAAGAAAAAGCATTAGGGACAAGAAAACAGGACCCTAATCTAGAATGGAGGCTAGGATGGGTTGTTATTACCACCTTGGGGCTTCAACCTCTGTTAGCATTTACAGCAGTCTTCTCTCTGACACTCTCCCCTTCTCAGACATTTCTATTGCCCCATCTGGAATCCCGCACTTCTCCTACCTTACCAAGTAAGATTTGCAGTGTCCATGCATACCTTCGATAGGTCAGATCGACCTATATTAGGTCAGACCTAATATGAGTAGTCGGGGTCATAAGTGACCCCCCACCCCTCTTCATCAGGATTTTCCCCGGAAGTGTTTCAGGACATTTTCCAGAGATGGGGGGGATGTAGGACATGGATCTCCTTGCATCCAGATATAACCACAATGTGGACGGGGTGATGTTGGTCTTGAAATTTGAGGGCCTGCACAGTGGATGCACTGGTGACTCCGTGGGATCAGGTCTCCCTGTTATATGCCTTTCCTCCTTTATCTCTCATCTGCTCTTTCAGGCCAAGTCTGAAAGGAGAAGTATGGCCAAAGCTATTTTGGATATACTTCTATGGATCACAGTAATTCGTTCTGCACTCCTGTGACCCGTTCTCATCCTGCTGTTGGCTGATGTCTGTCCAGGCTCTGGAATGATACCGACTTTACAGTCTGAATCCACCCAGATTTCTGGATTGTCAGCTGGCTCAGCCTCTTGGTATGCTGCTGTGAGTTTGAGCCAGAACCCCCCCCCCCCCCCCCCCCCCCCCCCCCCTCAGTCCCCTCAACAGCCCAGCATTCCAATGAACCCTGGAGGGGCAGAGCAGAGAGCCGGTGACTGAAATTGTCTGATCTGAGTTAAGTGTCTTGAGTTGGCAGCCTTGTCCTACATGGAATCCTTTCTGGTTTTGCCTAGGGAGCAATGTGGTATTAAGGCCAAGGACCTCCTTTTTGCCTAAAGTAGTTTCTCCCTTCCACCTGTACCAAGATATTAACAAACGTTGTGAGCGCTTGGAAGTGAAGAAAAGCTGCTAGCACTAAAAGGTGACAACCCAAAAAATAAAATGTGCAGCGCTAAAAAAATGCTACATGTAAATTGTATATAGCAATATACAATCACAAAATGCAAGTGAATCATGTAATAACGTTATGAACCGTGAGGTATACAATGGTATTAGTAGTAACATACATCAATAAGCACCCAAAGACACTTCTTCTGTGGGACCTTCACCCTTATGACATAAATCTGGCAAACATACACCCAAAATAAGATCTGTGATGGCCTCCTTCCTTGTGGTGGACTCCAACAGAAAATGACCAAGATGCACCTTAATAAAAAGACGTTCACACACTGATACGTATATAGTGTAGTAATTTATTCACATAGCAATAAAATCCACGGAGTACTTAAAAAAAAAAAAACAAAAAAAAAACAAAAAAACTAAGCCGAACTTGCATGAATGGCTGCCGGACCATGCACGGCCTTGGCCTTGGGTACGTCAGCATGTAGGCTCCTCCCTAAAGGCCATGCATGGTTCGCCACGAGCAAGGCGGCCATAAGAGCAGGTCTTATTTTGGGCATATGTTTGCCGGATTTCTGGTAAGTGCATAAGGGTGAAGGTTCCACAGAAGAGTATCACCACTGGATTGTTGTCACTGATTTTCATGTTCAACAGTCAAAGGACTTTATTATTTATCAGTCACTTTGCACTATTCACTCTTTGGTGCTTATTGATGCATGTTATACATTTTATACCTGACGGTTCATAACATTATTACATGATTCACTTGTGTTTTGTGATTGTATATTGCTATATACAATTTACATGTAGCATTTTTGTAGCGGACATTCTGTTTTTGTACCAAGATATTGTTCTTTCCTTCAGCTGTCTGGCTCAAGTTTACCAAGAGGAAATTTCCAAATATTGTTTGGACATAGTTTGTGCAGGGTTTCTTTCTCGACACCTGCTTCCTTCTAGAAAGACTAGTCCTTTTTTTTTTTTTTTTTTTTTTTTACCAACTTTCTGTGTATATATTATTAGCCATTGTATAAATACTTTTCTTGTAATACATTAAGGAACACCCATAGTTCCACCCCTCTGTGTTTTTATGATTACACGCTTACATTCTACAGGTTTTTTGTTTGCCAGTGTCCAGTCCTTCTGTAAGTAGCAGCATAACCCAAAGGTGTGAATGATTGACTGACTTCTTGTGTACCTCAATGTAATCCAAGAAAAGAGGGTGCAAGAATCCTAATTTTTAGTACTGAACATAATAAAATAAGTTTTAATAAATCGTATTCAGCATATGAAAGTTTTTTTTTTTTTTTTTTTTTTTTGCAATTATCTGTTTTCACTTTTACATGAGAGAGTCTGTTGATCAGAAAAAAATGCATCCACTCGGATTCAATGTTTTGTGACAGTAAAACATTAAAACCTCCATAGGGGATAAATACTTTTTATTGATTTGGTATGTAAAATCATTTAGCATGCTTCTTTTAGGAACTTTGCTTCTGTAGTTACTACCTAAAGAATGATAGCTTTGAGTTTCAATAGCATTGCCATAGAGCACAACTTTATTGAAACTGGCCATGTGTGTGTGTCTCCATCCACCTGTCTCTTCTGGAAAATTCTATTTAGTATAAGGATTCAGCTGTCAAAACACACTGTGTTGTGTCCTGGCAGCAGAAAGAATCTTGTGTGACAGGTGAACAGTGGATTCACTTGAATGCATGTCATAATAGGTGTGTCAGCAATATACTGCATTTAGCATCCTATTTATATATTTTATGGAAATAAAAACTAAATTTGAGGTTTAGCTTCTATAAAGTGATTTGCAGGAAATATATTAAATTAAAACATGAATTCTATGTTAACCACTTCCCGCCCACCTGCAATATACTGCGGCAGCTATAGGCAAACCGACGTACACAGCTGTGTCACAAGGGGGGAATCCCAATGAATGGGACCCGGTGATCATGTGATCGCTACGTGATCACAATGTAAGCAAAACTGTTATGAATCAATCTCATTCATACCAGCTGTGCTCCTCTTCCTAGTGAGCTGTGATTGGCCCACAGATGTCACATGATACATGGACCCTATCACAGTACCCTGTACCATGTGACTAGTTCCAGCCAATCACAGATCACTATCCTGAGCTGTCAAAAATTAACTCAATCATGACAGTTCATGAATGAGTTAGGTTCATGACAGCAAGCTTTGCATTGCAGGAGAAATTATCTTTATTTCTCCTGCAAAGCAAAGTGTAAAAAAAGAAAAAAAAATCCCTGATCACCCCCACAGTAGTTAATATGGTAACGTTGTACTATTCTGATAAAAGTATTTTAAAAAATTTTAAAAAATTTGACTTTTTTTTTTTTAAAAAAAAATTCTCAGTATGGTATTTTTTTTTTTTTTTTTTTCATTTTTACCTACTTGGCAGCCGCTTACCCACATTTTGTGGGTGAGCAGCAGCTCTTAGCAATGCGATGTAATCTTGCGTCATTCCTATTTTGGGGTGTGAACACACCTGTGCCTGCCGCGCCCCCCCCCACACCCGTCGGTCCAGGGAGAGAAGAGAACACTGCATCGAGTAAAAGCACTAAAGTTTACACACACGTTAAATTAGCACATTTAGCCCTTTGATCACCCCGTCACCCAGCCAGTGCCATTAGTACAGTGTCAGTATATAGAATTTTTTACTGATCCCTGTATTACTGCCACTAGCGACATCAGATAACATCACGGTCAGTAAGCTCCCCTCCCAGCCAGGGTCAGCTAGCATTAGATTGCCCGCAAACTACTGCACTCGCGCTATAGGTCGCTGATCACCCCCATTACTAGTACAGTGTTCACGTATAAAGATATTGATCATGAACAGAACTATACTAGTTCCTCCTTTGTATAGTGTCCCCAAAAACGCAGTGTTACCAGGATCGGCCCCGTTCATGCCCAGCACTAACGTTTAGCCCGTCCGCTGTTTTTCATGGAAGATTTGTACCAATTGATTGTGGGCCAAAGCAATTTATACACACAACTATACATCGCTGCCCACCCAAATTCAGCTTTTGCCAGACAATTCGCATGGAAACCTATCACGATTTCTGAATTTAAAACTGTTTTGGGCCTACCCCTCAACATGGGCATTATATAAAAAAGAATGAATTGCGGTCATATTGGTCCACAGAGCCAATGCAACGTATGCCCATGTTCTCTGCTGTTACATATATGCCCAACATGGACCAGCAATGTACTGGTACGTCGCTGGACTTTGAGTGGTTATACTGGGATGATGCCTGCAGGTACAGGCATCATTCTGGTACCATTTTCTTCAGATGGCGGTCGGCTTTCCTGTAAAAGCAATCCTAGTGGCCAGTTAGCTTCTGAATTGTTTTTACGAGCAGCTGGGAAGGGACTCCTGTCCGAGAATGCAGCCGGCAGTTCCGCTGGCTGACCATAGAGCCGGTCAGAGATCAACCATCATCCAATCATCAGTCGCCCTCGGTCTGGAGCTCCTTGCAAGATTTCGCCTCATGGAATAAGGATGATCATGAGAAAAGTAAGGGATCAGCCCAGAACTACACGGGAGGAGCTTGTGAATG